AGGGCATCGGTCTATCAGGGGTAGTGACAGAGGGAGGGCATCGGTCTATCAGAGGTTGGGACAGAGGGAGGGCATCGGTCTATCAGGGCAATGAACATCAATGGAATCAAAGAGATTTCAGTCTCAGAGCTGTACCTGAGAACTTGCATACCGAACAAAGGTCAAACTTATGAAGTTTGTAAACTTGCAACCAGTTCTTCAGTGCAGTACTCTGCAGTGCAATACTCTGCAGTGCAATACTCTGCAGTGCAATACTCTGCAGTGCAATACTCTGCAGTGCAATACTCTGCAGTGCAATACTCTGCAGTGCAATACTCTGCAGTGCAATACTCTGCAGTGCAATACTCTGCAGTGCAATACTCTGCGGTGCAATACTCTGCAGTGCAATACTCTGCAGTGCAATACGCTATCGTAGGACCACGCTAGGATACTATTGGGGGTACTTTCCCAAACTTGTAAGAGACGCATCTCTCGGGCAGGATCTTATCGTTTGTGTATTTGTGGTGAGTGTGTGTGTGTGTGTGTATGTGTGACTGTGTGTGTGTGTGTGTGTGTGCTCACGCGCACGCGCATGTGTGTGCGTACGTGTGTATGGGTGTATGGTGGATACATGATTGCGTGATTGCATGGGTGTATGGGTGTGTGGTGTTGTATGGTGTGGGTGTATGGTGTGTGGGTGTGTGTTGTTGTAGATGAATTTGTGATTGAGTATGTTGGTGAAGTCATCACAGAACCAATGCTTCGGTAAGGATAGCCTCTGTGTGTGTGTGTGTGTGGGGGGGTGTGTGTGTGTGTGTGTGTGTGTGTGTGTGTGTGTGTGTGTGTGTGTGTGTGTGTGTGTGTGTGTGTGTGTGTGTATGTGTGTGTGTGTGTGTGGGGGGGGGGTGTGTGTGTGTGTGTGTGTGTGTGTGTGTGTGTGTGTGTGTGTGTGTGTGTGTGTGTGTGTGTGTGTGTGTGTGTGTGTGTGTGTGTGTGTATGTGTACTACCCACTCTACCATGAGTCTTTAACCAAGTATGTACTACCCACTCTAACACGAGTCTGTAGCCAAGTGTGTACAGGTCTGCTCTCGATATAACAACTCTCACTTGTACATAAACCTTGCTAGTACATAAAAAATCAAATCCCGCGCCGAAACAGCATCACTCCCATACAAATTTTGTTCTACACAACATAATCCTACATAACATGAACCTCGACATAACACACGCTACGGCACGGTCCCCGACGTGCGCACTCTCGATACAACATAAATTCACTTGCACGGTACGATCAAGCGGTAGCTGTATCTAGGCAGTTTAGGCCAGTTTGTTCCTACATAACGTAAACCTCGGCATAACGCACCCTACGGCGCGGTCCCCGACGTGTGCACTCTCGATACAACGTAGATTCACGTGCGCGGTACAATCAAGCTGTAGCCGTAGCTAGCCAGTTTAGTCCTATTGTGCATTATATTCTGCGGCATTGATGGTATCTTATGTCGATGGTGGTGCAGTGTGTATAATCAGGGATGAATTTATCCGGTATCGCATCGCAGTTTGCGATTCAAAATCGATCGAGTGCGATTCAAAAATCACAGCGACTCGCAGAAAACTGCGATGCATAAACGGCACTGCATACTGTACCTCGCGCAGTCAGTAAAAGTGATGCTGTGACTGTGTCGTACACTCACCATGCTCACTACACCTGTACAGTGCACAGACCCCGCTTTTTTCTCGGGAAGGTGTGATTTCTAGTACATGTACCTGTGAACTCTGGCTGGCTCCGCGTGCACATACTGACTGTACTGGTGTCCTACTTGAACTACACGTACCACTTTGCGCGGCTTTCATTCAGTAAGTTCAGTATTTCATGTACTTTCCGTACTGACAAGCATCATCTTTCCTCCACGATCCCGGCGGAGGTCTTGTTTTTTTCTCTTCTTTCTGGTTTACTTGCCTCTTTTCGTGATATTATAGCTTTCTGCTTGTAGCCAGTCGGTCTTTCTGGTCGTGAGGAAATTCTGGAATCGCGTTCGTCCTTCTCTCTGACAATTGTCCAAGCTGTAGTTTTTGTCTAGTCTGGTTCTGCCTCCAACATGTCTGTACGACACAGTGCCTTTGAGAAGTGGGTGGCAGAGGTCGATGTCGAGAGGAAATGGCTTCGTTCTGAGAAAGCTACAGGTGCAGCGGTGACCGCGGCTGATTTTCTGCCAGCTATGCAGACAGCACGAGTCCTCCCTCCGTGGGCTGAGAAATTTTAGTCGGTCTTTTGTGGACGGGATTTCGGGGACTGCTCTGAAGAAGGACAACGTGGTGAAACATTCGAAGTCGGATATGTATAGCAAGGCGGTAGGAATGTCGGTCCTGGACGGACTTTTTCGTGGAAGAAGAAATGCTAATCGAAATCAAGGACTGCTACGCATTTTGGCGTTTGCGTCGCGAAAACTGCTATGCAAAAAAATGACAGTAAATTCATCCCTGTATAATGTTTGCACGGTTGAATCCGCCTTGTAATACCCTTCATTTTGAGGTACATCTTGTATTTTACACACGGTTTTCTACAGAACATAACTCTCGATATAACATATTTTTTCCGTGGTCCCAGAGATTACGTTATATGGAGAGTAGACCTGTACTACCCACTCTAACATGAGTCAGTAGCCAAGTGTGTGCTACCAACTCTAACACAAGTCTGTAACCAAGAGTGTGTGCTACCCACTCTAACACGAGTCTTTAACCAAGTGTGTACAACTCCTGCATGTATCTTGAGCTACGATGAACTCGACCATGGTGGCGTTCATTTATAAAATTTAATATCATGGTTTGGCAGGATTGTGATGAAGTGCGTGTGCCTTTCCGGCGTTTCCGCGCTCAGTCTCATGTAGATACCATGTTGTTGTTGTTGTTGTTGTTGTTGTTGTTGTTGTTGTTGTTGTTGTTGTTTATTTGCTGTAGAGACCGACAGGAGACATTGTACTCAAGTAGTTGCAATCACTATTGTTTGTCGTTACACTCTGGATTGGTCATTGACAGCACCGCCTGTGTAAGTATTTTAAATCATAAAATAACTTTAACCCACATGCGTGCACTTGCCACCATACACACATGCGTGTACTTGCCACCATACACACATGCGTGCACTTGCCACCATACACACATGCGTGCACTTGCCACCATACACACATGCGTGCACTTGCCACCATACACACATGCGTGCACTTGCCACCATACACACATGCGTGCACTTGCCACCATACACACATGCGTGCACTTGCCACCATACACACATGCGTGCACTTGCCACCATACACACATGCGTGTACTTGCCACCATACACACATGCGTGCACTTGCCACCATACACACATGCGTGCACTTGCCACCATACACACATGCGTGCACTTGCCACCATACACACATGCGTGCACTTGCCACCATACACACATGCGTGCACTTGCCACCATACACACATGCGTGCACTTGCCACCATACACACATGCGTGCACTTGCCACCATACACACATGCGTGCACTTGCCACCATACACACATGCGTGCACTTGCCACCATACACATGCGTGCACTTGCCACCATACACACATGCGTGCACTTGCCACCATACACACATGCGTGCACTTGCCACCATACACACATGCGTGCACTTGCCACCATACACACGAGTGTGCGTGCACTTGCCACCATACACACATGCGTGCACTTGCCACCATACACACATGCGTGCACTTGCCACCATACACACATGCGTGCACTTGCCACCATACACACATGCGTGCACTTACCACCATACACACATGCGTGCACTTACCACCATACACACATGCGTGCACTTGCCACCATACACACATGCGTGCACTTGCCACCATACACACATGCGTGCACTTGCCACCATACACACATGCGTGCACTTGCCACCATACACACATGCGTGCAGTTGCCACCATACACACGAGTGTGCGTGCACTTGCCACCATACACACGAGTATGCGTGCACTTACCCGCAAGGCCTTACTGCTTGAAAGTATGTGTAAGTTATACGCACGCATGTACTGCGCAGTGCTATACGCTTGCAAACCTTTGATAATTGAGGCAGCACCGCAGAAATGGACAAGGTGATGAGAGCCTGTTGCTCAGCGGTCTGCGCGACAGAGAAAGCCGACCTGGCTCGTCGTGGAGGCAGTGTCCTAGCTGGTAGTAATGTAGCAAGGACGGATCACGAAAGAGAGAATACCAGCCTGACAAGGAAAACACTTCTTGTCCGCAGGAAAAGACACACCAAACTGCGTTCAGCCATCTACTGCATTGCGTATAATAAACTATATATTTAAATAGAGACGTAGGCGAACAAAATTTATATACACACAACAACAAGGTTGTCAATTTCATAATACTAAAAGCTTTTCACCCATTTTCATCAGTAGATACATGGGAATGAGCAAGAACGAAAACGAAGCCAGAATTTATACTGGGGGTAGAGAATCAGCAAGAATATTCTTACGCGCCTCAAGTTCACACTACACTACCATAAGAATGTATGGAGCGGTGGAAAAATGCGGGAAACAACACATGAGGGGAATGCAGTACCAGAACAAACACGTGATAAAGCTGTCAGTCCGGTTGCAGCTTGAACAGCCGCAGCACCTTGATGTGCTTCTTTTGTCGACACAGCTCTGGCCTCAAACTACGAATGTACAGCGCCTCCAGTGTGAATCTGTGCGCGCTGTTCCGGGCTGGTGTGATGACACTGAAGCTGCTGTTGCGTTCTTGCGGGATGCATTCAGGTTGCGCCTGCAAATGCTTTGTGATGGCGCTATCACTTGTTGCCACACGTTTGTCAGGCGGCTTCTTGTACAGCTTGTCTGGGATATGCTGCTTGATCCTTTCCGAGAATCGCTGACATGTCTCACCAACGTACGTTCGCTCACAGCGACACGCATACTTATAAACAAAATTACTATTTTCAAGAGTTGGTGAAACATCCTTCGCGATAGACCTGAATGCGGGCCTGGTTGTATAAATTACAATGGGGGATACTGTAGGATAGCAGTTCAAAATTGCAGCTTTAATCTTTTTGCGGAAGGCAATGCAATTTTGCCCTTTCCACGGCAATTTTGTGATAATACGCGTTGCAGATTCAAGTTGTGCAGAAGCTACACCTGGGCTAGGTTCAAGAACGCTTGTCATGACTCGCTTGAGTACTTTGAGTGGGTAACCGTTAGAACACAGAATATCCTCTAGCTTAGCAATTTCAGCTGATAATAGTGATGGTGAGCAGATGTTTTTAGCTCTGAAAGTTAATGATCTGATCAAATTGATTTTGTTTCTAGTGTCGCAAAACGAGTCCCAGCGGGTGTAAAGACCTGTGAACGTCGGCTTTCTATATACTGTGGTGAGCAATTCAGTGGAAGAATGCTTAATCAATACATCAAGAAACGGCAATTCTCCATTATTCTCCTCCTCCATTGTAAACTGGAGAGCTGGGTGAAGATTATTTAAACGCTCAGAGAATTCCAATGCCAGTTTCCGGTTGTGAAATGCTGCGAATGTGTCATCCACATAACGCCTATAGAATTAAACTATATATATACATCTACTGCAGTGCATGTAATGGCAACAGAGCAGCAGTGCAAAACTGCAAATTACAGACTACTACTCGGCGCAGGATATTCAGTGTCATGCTGCCCCGACTCATGCATGACGAGACCATCACTTCTCACATGCCCGAGTGGGCTAACTTGACTTTGATAAGCCGGCATTTACCGTTAAAACCTGCTAATATTCATTAGTTGAGTTTGTTGATATGCAGTGCTAATTTTTCATTAGTTGAGTGTGTTGATATCCAGTGCTAATTTTTCATTAGTTGAGTTTGTTGATATCCAGTGCTAATTATTCATTAGTTGAGTGTGTTGATATCCAGTGCTAATTATTCATTAGTTGAGTGTGTTGATATCCAGTGATAATTATTCATTAGTTGAGTGTGTTGATATGCAGTGCTAATTATTCATTAGTTGAGTGTGTTGATATCCAGTGCTAATTATTCATTAGTTGAGTGTGTTGATATCCAGTGCTAATTATTCATTAGTTGAGTGTGTTGATATCCAGTGCTAGTTATACCGTTACTAGTACATGTACTACACTAACGTGTCATGTAATTATGTTGTTGTACACGTACATCGGTTCATATTGCGTGTGTGTGTGTGTGTGTGTGTGTGTGTGTGCGTGCGTGCGTGCGTGCGTGCGTGCGTGTGTGTGTGTGTGTGTGTGTGTGTGTGTGTGCGCGTACATGTGCGTGTGTGTGGGCGTGTGTGTGTGTGTGTGCGTGTGTGTGTGCACATGTGTGTGCGTGTGGGCGTGTGTGTGTGTGTGTATGTTCGGTCATGTGTATGCATGTAAGTGCATGTGTGTGTGTATATGCATGTTTGGTGTGTGGATGTGTGTTTGGTGTGTGGATGTGTGTTTGGTGTGTGGATGTGTGTTTGGTGTGTGGATGTGATGTTTGCAGGGCAGTGAAGCAAGATTTGTGAATCACAGCTGTCAACCAAACTGTGAAATGCAGTGCTGGTATGTAGCATATTATCCAGTGGTTAGAAGACATCTGCTATCAAGTGTAAATGATCATTCTAATTCTAATTATCTAACACTGGTGACAATTATTGAGTGTGATTCACTTGTGAAGCGAATGAACTGAATTTATGACCGAGATCTGAAAATGGGAGTGCAATTCCAAATCGGATGTGACATACGGTCATGGAATTACGGCAGATGATTGGAGTCTGAGTTTGTGCTGTTGCTGTTTCTGCTGATGCTGCTGCTGCTGGTGGTGTTGCTGCTGCTGGTGCTGCTGCTGCTGGTGATGGTGATGGTGATGGTGCTGCTGCTACTGCTGCTGCTGCTGGTGCTGCTGGTGGTGGTGGTGGTGCTGCTGCTGCTGGTGGTGGTGGTGGTGGTGGTGGTGCTGCTGCTGGTGGTGCTGCTGCTGGTGGTGGTGGTGGTCATCGGTGCCATTGTCGTCATTGTTGATATTTTCGTCATTTTCGTCATCGTCGTTGTTGTTTCTGTTTATCAGGACTGTGGCTGGACAGTATCGTATGGGATTGTTCACTTTGCAAGATATCCCCAGTGGTGGGGAACTGACGTATGATTATCGTTTTGACTCTCTGGACAATGAGGCACAGGTACGTGTCTGTGTTGCCATGGATATACACACAGACACACGGACACTTGGACACATGGACACACAGACACACATGGAGAGTGCACACTCAGCCAGCTAATCACCAACCATGCATAGACAGGAACAGACAATTCCAGACTACACTGTTCTATCTAAGCCGTAGATTGTCGTGGTATATAATGCTGGAGCTGAAATCATACTGGCCTGGCAAACCGACAGTTCACCGAGCAGGCTGTGTTACATGTGTTGTGGTCTGGGTTTGGTTTTCCATTTTGCATACTATTGTCTTGTACTGCTAGGTGTGGATGTGTTCTGGATCCGTTTCTTCCTTCTATTCTCCTCTTCCCTTCTTCTGTCCTTCTTGTTTTGAACAGACGTGTCGTTGTGGAGCTGATAGTTGTCGAGGTTTCTTGTGTCCACCTCGCAAAGCCCAGGCCTTACACACTCTAATGGAGGAGGAGTGTGAGAGGAAGAAGAGGAGACGGAAAAAGGTGAGCTACACAGTTAGATGTTCATCAGCAGCACTCTTAGGCACTCTTAGTTCATCATCAGCAGCACTCTTAGTTCATCAGCAGCACTCTTAGTTCATCAGCAGCACTCTTAGTTCATCATCAGCAGCACTCTTAGGCACTCTTAGTTCATCAGCAGCACTCTTAGTTCATCAGCAGCACTCTTAGTTCATCAGCAGCACTCTTAGTTCATCAGCAGCAGCACTCTTAGTTCATCAGCAGCACTCTTAGTTCATCATCGCAGTCTTTTTGGCTCATAGTGCGTGCCTGTGTAACAACCAATCAGAGCTTCTTGTTTCTTCGCGCTCAGTGCCTGCCCGCATAGCAACCAATGTTAAAACAGAGAGTTTCCAGGCTGTCCAATAGAGTGCTCAATGCCGAAAGGCAGAGTTGGTTCAAACAATAATAAGAGAACGAAAAAAAGTATTTTTACTCCGAGTTTCACACACTGAGCAATCATCAGAAAACACTGTTTTCTGATGATCGCTCAGTGTGTGAAACTCCGAGTAAGAACACTTTTTTCATCCTCATATTCCTGTAGCAACCAATGACATCATTATGTTCACAAGTTGGAGGGAATGAAAGGGGAAGCGACTGAAAAATTGAACGGCACCCCCACCAGGACTCAAGCCAGTGACTTTCGCTATAGACCAGCGATGCTCAAACCACTAGACTATGGCCTGGCTGTCTTCCCAGTAACAACCCTTCTGCATTTCTCTTCAGTCTTCGAAATTCACGCCGATTGTGAAGCTAGACAAGGTGGTGGGATGCGGCCCTCACTATATCCACACACTATATCCACACACTTCATTCACAAACTAGTATGGGACGAAGCACACTGAATTAACAATAGGTATTATTCATCAGTTTGGGAGATTAAAAAGAATACCGGTAAGGCACGAGCAATCAATTGCCTGTAACCACAAGAACTTGAATCCACGACCATGGATATCGACCTGTATTTTGTGCGCGTGCGTGCAATTGTGTGAGTGTGTGCGTGTGTGTACGTGTATGCGTGTGTGCATGTGTGTACGTGTGTATTACATGTATGTGTACGTGTGTATTACATGTGTGTGTGTGTGTGTGTGTGTGTGTGTGTGTGTGTGTGTGTGTGTGTGTGTGTGTACACGTACATGCACGCATGTGTGTGTTTGTTCAACTTACAGGGCGTTTCATCCTCATCAGGTTTAACATGTGACCTTCCTCATCCCGTGCCCATATTTGGCAAGTCTGAGCCGCTGCGAATCCTGAACAAAAGAGAAGAGTAAGTAATGATTCTGGTGATTTCAGTCATGCTAGTGGTGTTAGCAGTCATGCTAGTGGTGTTAGCAGTCATGCTAGTGGTGTTAGCAGTCATGCTAGTGGTGTTAGCAGTTCTGCTAGTGGTGTTAGCAGTCATGCTAGTGGTGTTAGCAGTCATCCTACAGGGGCATAGGAAGCAGTTTAATATTGGTGCGGCGATATTGTGAGGGGGGTCCGGGGGTCGTCCCTGGGGAATTTTTTTGAAAATTGGGCCTAAAAGGCCATATTTTAATGCTACAGAATAATATGAGAAATAAGAATATGCATGCTGATGATACACCGCATTGTCGATGTAAAACATGGTACCTGTACAAGAGTCGACAAGCCATCAACAAGGTTGTAATGTAAAAAATGAAAAAAATGAAAAAAATTATTGTTCCGGCGACCGCCAGGCCTGCCGGACCGGTTCCTATGTCCTTGCCGTGTTAGCAGTCATGCTAGTGGTGTTAGCAGTCATGCTAGTGGTGTTAGCAGTCATACTAGTGGTGTTAGCAGTCATGCTAGTGGTGTTAGCAGTCATGCTAGTGGTGTTAGCAGTCATGCTAGTGGTGTTAGCAGTCATACTAGTGGTGTTAGCTGTCATGCTAGTGGTGTTAGCAGTCATGCTAGTGGTGTTAGCAGTGTTAGCAGTCATGCTAGTGGTGTTAGCAGTCATACTAGTGGTGTTAGCAGTCATGCTAGTGGTGTTAGCAGTCATGCTAGTGGTGTTAGCAGTCATGCTAGTGGTGTTAGCAGTGTTAGCAGTCATGCTAGTGGTGTTAGCACTGTTAGCAGTCATGCTAGTGGTGTTAGCAGTGTTAGCAGTCATGCTAGTGGTGTTAGCAGTGTTAGCAGTCATGCTAGTGGTGTTAGCAGTCATGCTAGTGGTGTTAGCAGTCATGCTTGTGGTGTTAGCAGTCATACTAGTGGTGTTAGCAGTCATGCTAGTGGTGTTAGCAGTCATGCTAGTGGTGTTAGCAGTCATGCTAGTGGTGTTAGCAGTCATGCTAGTGGTGTTAACAGTGTTAGTGGTGTTAACGGTGCTAGTACAGGTGTTGCTACCCACAATGAGACCAGTGGTGTGTTGTTACCCACAATGGGGACCAGTGGTGTGTTGCTACCCACAATGGGACCAGTGGTGTGTTGCTACCCACAATGGGACCAGTGGTGTGTTGCTAGCCACAATGGGACCAGTGGTGTGTTGCTAGCCACAATGGGACCAGTGGTGTGTTGCTACCCACAATGGGACCAGTGGTGTGTTCCTATAGCAACAATGGGACCAGTGGTGTGTTGCTATAGATGTTCATGCAACTTACTCTGTCTCTCTTTCCCCGTGTCTGTTTCTCTGTCCCTGTGTGTGTGTGTGTGTGTGTGTGTGTGTGTGTGTGTGTGTGTGTTGTGTGTATATGTGTGTGTGTGTGTGTGTGTGTGTGTGTCTCTCTCTCTCTCTCTGTCTCTCTGTCTCTCTCCCTCTCTCTCTCTCTCTCCGCTATCTCCGCTATCTTTCTCTCTCTCTCTCTGCAGAGTGTTGTGTGTGCGACAGCGTATCTTTCTTGTTCGAAACGCTATGCGCAGTCCTCTTTGGAAGGTAGGTCTTATTTTCTTATTTTCTTATTTTCTTATTTTTCAACCACATCCATCCTAGCCCCGCCCTACACACATACCATGGTGATAAAGTTATAAAGATTCCGACATAGCAACTTGTGCTGGGATTACACCATTCAACGCCTTGCAAGGCTGATGAATTGACCGCCACTAATTTTTAGCCTGGTATCCACCACACAGCTGATTGAAGTGGCATTTTCTGGCCAGTGAATTCCTATTTTTCATTTTTCAATTTTTTCTCCATTTGTTTCATTCTTTTTTCTTTTTCAACACACACACCACACCACATGCTCCGGCATACACTGGCTGTTGGTAACCACCCAGGAGAATGAAAGAAGAGCTAAGAGAATGAGAAAGAGAAGAATGACGTGTGCGACCATAATCGTCGCGAATTGAATCCTGTGACGGTTTGTTGATATCGGACGGATAGGATAATGATACACCAGAGAGTCAAGAGACAATTGTTACTTCTACGTTGTGTTTTTAGTTCCAAACCATAATCCAAGAGCGTCCTAAAAACGGCTACTGAATTCCCACTTCCAATGGAATAGCCCATCCTTTTCTCCAAGGACAAACAGCAAAAGGCACCAGCCAGCCAGAAAAGGATACGGGAAAAAATGTGGAATACTACCGTACTGAGCAGTAGAGCGCAGAAGAACCGCGCGCGCGGGTATGTGATATATAGGAAGTGTGAGCAGGACTAAAGTACGATTTATGATACAGTCAAGCTGACGGAACACGTGCAGCGCTACACCGTAACCGGGTGCCACGTGGAAGCAAACAGAACCACACACACACACACCACACACACACATACACACACACAACACACACACACACACACACACACACACACACACACACACGTACACACATACACACACACACACACACACACACACACACACACACACACACACACACACACACACACGCGCACACATACACGCACACATACGCGCACACATATGTTGTGTTGTTGTGCGTGTTGTCATTCTAACGCAGAAATTGGTTTCAGACTTGTCCAAGACGCCTGGAACAGCGACAGCGGCTAGTTCAGTATCAACCAGCGCCACTGACAATGCTCAATCATCTATTGCTCAAGAGAGCACAAGAAAAGGTAACACATGTGCGCTGTGCACTTGTTTCTTTTCTGTGTGTATGTGTATAGCCGGGGGTAAGTACCACTGTCCACTGTCCAGTGTGGTGTGAACTCAGCTCACAATGTCTTACATTAATCGTCTTACATTACTAGAGTGAATACAACCTTTCCTTCTTCTCCCTCCTCTCTTTTTGAGTACACACACACACACCATTTGCACAAATTACCCACTGGGTAAATACCTATCTACCACAGTGCCACTCTCTCTCTCTCTCTCTCTCTCTCTCTCTCTCTCTCTCTCTCTCTCTCTCTCTCTCTCTCTCTCTCTCTCTCTCTCTCTCTCTCTCTCTCTCTCTCTCTCTCTCTCTCTCTCTCTCTCTCTCTCTCTCTCTCTCTCTCTCTCTCTCTCTCTCTTTCTCTCTCTCTCTCTCTCTCTCTCTCTCTCTCTCTCTCTCTCTCTCTCTCTCTCTCTCTCTCTCTCTCTCTCTCTCTCTCTCTCTCTCTCTCTCTCTCTTCTCTCTCTCTCTCTCTCTCTCTCTCTCTCTCTCTCTCTCTCTCTCTCTCTCTCTCTCTCTCTCTCTCTCTCTCTCTCTCTCTCTCTCTCTCTCTCTCTCTCTCTCTCTCTCTCACACACACACACTCTCTCTCTCTCTCTCTCTCTCTCTCTCTCTCTCTCTCTCTCTCTCTCTCTTTCTCACTTTCCAGCTCTTTCTCGATCAAATTCTACAATGTTTGACTCTGTTGCGGATTCTCACATGTACTGCACCTGTCATACCTGTCATCTCTCTTTAGTCTACACACGTGTGTAGTGTGTTTGGTGACCGGGTTGGAGGGCAGTTCGTGTAGTACTCTTTCTTCTCATTCCCATTCTGTTATCCATAAATGTGTGTTTGTCATTGTTTGTCTGTGTGTGTGTGTGTGTGTGTGTGTGTGTGTGTGTGTGTGTGTATGTTTTGTCCTTAGGAGTTTTCCGGAAGTGCTTGGTGTCTCTCCTGAACGGACGCTTCACAAACTCAAGGTACTAGTGTCCAGTGTCATGTCACCACAGCAACACAATGTCATGCAGTATAACACAGCAACACAGGGTTATAGACACTGACTCATACATCCCCCGGGAAACTGCTAGGAAACTTGGGCCCTAATAGCTCATAATTTCATTGCTCCAGAAATCACAGTATACAATTATTGCAGGTGTGGCTTTGGCTGCACTTGCCATACTGGTTCCGACGCCCCTGTAAAGTGGGTATGAGATAATTCACAGAGACCTAAGGATATGAGAAAATTATGTAGAGACTGGGAGTGACGTCAGTTGGAGGTGGAGGTGTGTTTTGTAGCACGGGATTGCCCTATGCACCGGATTCAACTGAAAATATCACAAATGCACACACATGCATATGCACACACACACACACACGCATGTACACACACACGCGCGCCTGTTTTCTCTGTGTGCACTGTTCTTCTCCTGTTTCCTAGTCCCCCCCCCCCCCCCCTCTTCCTCCCTGGTGTATTCTTAAATCCTCTAGGAGAAGTTAGAGAATTGTTGTTATACCCTTGCGGAATTTTACGAGATTTTCCAAGGCTCGCCGAGCTCTTTGACCTACGTACATGGCTGAGCTTGGAGATTTCCGCGCTTATGGGCCTACGTGTAATTATGCGGACTGCTACAGAATACATGTTTTTTCAGGTGCGCCTAAAACGGATCATTAATTATATGCTCATATCTGTAAAGGTCACTGCTCTTTTGCGTTTAGCAGTCGAGACTAAATTGGCACGCGTTCTTTCATTCTTCTCGTTTCTTCATCTACCTGGAGACATTTTTCTCCAAGAGCCAGCAGTAACTCCTTTAATAGGCTGATTAGTTCTGTTTAGTGAAAACTATGCACACGACGCCTATCTTATTCCTTTGCTTGTGCACATACAGATGGTCTAGCGCTCAAGGTGATAACCCGTTATCGTTTCTACGGCAACTGCATTTGGCAAGGCTACTCCACGGCACGCTGAAGAACTTGACATTGTTTGCAGGTACGTCTGTTCGTCTGTTCATGTTGTCAATAGTTAATCTCTAATACGAACACCCACACACGCATACACACACGCGCATACACACACATGCACACACGCATACACACGTGCATCCACACACACACACCTGTCCTGTCCTGTCCTGTTGACCCACTGCCGTAAATGTTACGTGGTCCCATTGCGGGGGGAGGGAGAGGAGCAAACACGCCGGTGCCGGGTCAGGTCCCTGGACTGCCGAAATCTCCGAGAGCAGTGCTGACACAGTAGTGGAAACTTGGCACGCTCATCCGTTGTTGGGCGGTTCTAGCGAGGTCTACAAGGAGCGGGAGCGGGCTGGCTAGCGATTGGGGTAGGCTGGCACCTATGGACAGTGAGTCCACCCCTGCTACGATACCATTTCCCACAATCTGCGCGTTGACATGCACCACGCTGCTGTTGGACTGGCTTGCGACGTTCCGCTGTGCACTTGTGACGCTCTGCTGTGCACTTGTGACGCTCTGCTGTGCACTTGTGACGCTCTGCTGTGCACTTGTGGCGCTTAAGATCGCTTGGTCTAGAGCAGACCTTTCCACAGATGGGGCACTCAACGGGGGCTGCTGCGGCCAGTTCCATATCCTGATCTCTCTCTCTCTCACACACACACACACACACACGCACGCACAATTGTACTTGGTCCGCCAAGTTAAAATTGGCGCTTATCTTCTCACTTGTTTTTTCGGTGTTCTGCCTGTGTCACACGGCATGGAACCACCGATTCACCATCCGAACATAGCCATTAACCATTGCATCCGACGACATGGCAGCACAAACCATCACAGAAGTTGCGATCAGTTCGTTTGAGTCTTTTTGACGGAGCTTCCGCCAACGAACACTTCCGTCAGTGCCAAGAAAACACTGCAACCTCCGCTCGATTCCGTAAAATTGGTCAGGATGTTCGCATTTCAGAGCGATGGAGAATACAGTTTCTGTCTACTTCCAGCTGTCTGATGGCAAGGATTGTTTACCCCGGGGCGGTATAGAAAAGCTGAAAAGCGCTTCGCGAGCTTGAATTTCAGTGCTGGCACAGTACAGCGCCTAGTGAAGGGTTATCACCAGCAAATCGCTGACGAAGAAACTGCAGCTCATGTCGACATCTCCAGAAAGTGAGACCAATCCGGCGGACACACTTTGAAGCTCACAGAGGACAGGGCAAAGGAGCTAATCAAAATAAACACCAAGTCCTGAGGGAAACACTTGTGCAAAGGACTTTCAGGAAACTAGCCGAAAAGCCTGGTGCACGGCGTTAGGACTTAGGTGCAGTACGCACAGGTGCTACATCAAGCGGAAGCTATCACTGCGCTGCATGTACAAGCACCAGCGGCTCGCGTGGGTGCTGATCAGCAAGTACGACAAGCGCAAGAGGTGATTTGAAAAAAGGACACTGATAATTGCCTTTTTGTCTCAAACAAAGACGCATTATTGCGACGAACGGGGATAACACTTACAGCCAACATGCGGGCAGTCTCACTCAGCTTCTGATCGGCAAGGCGACAGGCACTGCACTGCAAGTGGAACAAGCTATGAAACGTGCAGCAGGTGTCCGGATCGAACGTTTTGAGCTCTTCCTCTAGCGACGATAGTGGCGAGGAGGATGTGTAACTTGCTTGAATTTTCGACTAAGTTGCTTACTGACATGTAAATAATCATGTACATAGTGCTTTGTGATGGTGGCTTGCTTCAAATATTCGTCTTTCCTTCCTGAGGCAAGTGTGAAGATAAGCGCCAATTGTAACTGGGCGGATCAAGTACTAGTACTTGCTGTCTGTCTCTCTGTCTGTATGTATGTATGTATGTATGTCTGTCTGTCTGTCTGTCTGTCTGTCTGTCTGTCTGTCTGTCTGTCTGTCTGTCTGTCGGTCTGTCTGTCGGTCTGTCTGTCTGTGTCTGCCTGTCTGCCTGCTAACTCGTCTTTGTCCGTCTATTTGTCCATCTGTTTTGTTTTCTCCGTTCTCTTATCGTTGCCCCCACGCAGAGAGATCAGACAATGATGGATGTTGTGATGTACTGCGACCACCGTCAAGGCGTAAACACCCACAGTACTATACAGGGTTGATTGCTGCAGCAGCTAATGATGCAGCTACTGGTGCTGCTGCAGCTAATGATGCAGCTACTGGTGCTGCTGCAGCTAATGATGCAGCTACTGGTGCTGCTGCAGCTAATGATGCAGCTACTAGTGCTGCTGCAGCTAATGATGCAGCTACTGGTGCTGCTGCAGCTAATGATGCAGCTACTGGTGCTGCAGCAGCTAATGATGCAGCTACTGGTGCTGCTGCAGCTAATGATGCAGCTACTAGTGCTGCTGCAGCTAATGATGCAGCTACTGGTGCTGCTGCAGCTAATGATGCAGCTACTGGTGCTGCTGCTGCTGCGGGTGCTGGTGCTGCTGCGGGTGCTGGTGCTGCTGCTGGTGCTGGTGGTGGTGCTGCTGGTGCTGGTGGTGGTGCTGCTGGTGCTGGTGCTGGTGCTGCTGGTGCTGGTGCTGGTGCTGGTGCTGCTGGTGCTGGTGGTGGTGCTGCTGCTGCTGTTGGTGTTGCTGGTGGTGCTGCTGGTGGTGTTACCAGTATTCAGGATATCCAACACTGTGTACATACCGGGCACTACAAGACACTGGAGGAGTTTGATACGGATACACAACGTGTACTGGAGAACATTGTTGTAAGTCACGTGCACTTTTCAACAATACCATTATTCCAGCCTAGTAGGGTAGTGTTTTGGAAACTGTTCACTGCTCCCAACAGGCACATTGCGCTCTGCTGCTGCTGCTGCTGGTGGTGATACTACTACTGCTGCTGCTGCTGTTGCTGTTGCTGCTGTTGCTGTTGCTGCTGTTGCTGTTGCTGCTGTTGTTGCTGCTGTTGCTGCTGTTGCTGCTGCTGGTGATTCTACTGCTGTTGCTGTTGGCATTGATATTGCTGTTAGTGTTGTGTTGCTGTTGGTATTGGTATTTTACTGATACCGGCACTATTGTCCAATGTTCAAAGCTGAAGTTGCTAGATATTCTAGGTATGTTGTGAACATAATCCGTACTGTCAACTGTTATAAGGGAGCATCTCATAAGTTCGCATTTTGTTTCTAAACGTAACGCATTTCGAAACGGGGGGGGGGGGGGGGTAGGGGGGGTAGCGCCCATTTCGGATAGAAAAATGACAGTTCGCACATTTTCTGGATGTGTGCAATACAGTGCTGTGCTTGTGCTAGACCGCTTCAGACAGCAGGGTAGGGGTGTGTTTTAGGTGTAGATCTAACCCTTGCACTACCCATGCAGGCTACTCAGAGGTGTCAAATGTCACACCAGCCTGATCAAACCCTGTACCTGCCACCTGGCCAGCTTTGACAGTACAGTCGTTGTGGAGTAACTCTGTTTATGTGTGTGTACATGTCATTGATTGAACTAAGACTGTAACCAATACTTACTTGTACTCAGTAGATGTGGTACTACTGTATGTCATTCACGTCGACACTAGCGTCCATGTCCATGTACTTGAACATTGTACATTGTACATGATTGTGCATACCATGGCATGGACATGTACAGTACAGTAGATCTACACTGAAAATGTGCGATAAGATTTTCAAATAGTGGGGGGAGGTAGGGGGGTAAAGTCTATTCGAAATGCGTTACGTTTACAAAAAAAGTGCGTTTTACTTGTTACAGACATTCTATGCCAACAGTGCGTTGCCGTGGCAACATGAGGCAGCACTGGCAGTTCGTGATCACTACAAATATCTGTTGCATGGTCTATCAGAAGATGTTGAGGTAAGGTTTGTATCTCGGTCCCTCGGCAAGTGGGTATGATAATATGTGTGCGTGCGTGCGTGCGTGGGTGCGTGCATGCGTGCATTCGTTCGTTCTGGCGTGCTTGCGTTTGTTCGTTCTGGCGTGAGATATTGCCTAGTCTGTCCTATTTGTGTATAGGGGATTATTTCTTGTATTACACACAGACATAGTGGTGATTTGTATTACACACAGACATAGTAGTGATTTGTATTACACACAGACATAGTAGTGATTTGTATTACACACAGACATAGTGGTGATTTGTATTACACACAGACATAGTGGTGATTTGTATTACACACAGACATAGTGGTGATTTGTATTACACACAGACATAGTGGTGATTTGTATTACACACAGACATAGTGGTGATTTGTATTACACACAGACATAGTGGTGATTTGTATTACACACAGACATAGTGGTGATTTGTATTACACACAGACATAGTAGTGATTTGTATTACACACAGACATAGTGGTGATTTGTATTACACACAGACATAGTGGTGATTTGTATTACACACAGACATAGTGGTGATTTGTATTACACACAGACATAGTGGTGATTTGTATTACACACAGACATAGTAGTGATTTGTATTACACACAGACATAGTGGTGATTTGTATTACACACAGACATTGTAGTGATTTGTATTACACAGAGACATAGTGGTGATTTGTATTATGTGACTTGTTACCACTGTTTTCTGCTCTGAAGCTATAGTTATGATGTATACTTAGTTATGGTGGCTGCTGCTTTGCTAGCCATGTTGGAAATCGTTCAGAACAGTGGTGTTAGATAGGTGTGTGCTGGTTTGCTGGTTTGCTGGTTTGCTGATGTGCTGGTTTGCTGGTGTGCTGGTGTGCTGGTGTGCTGGTTTGCTGGTGTGCTGGTTTGCTGGTTTGCTGGTGTGCTGGTTTGCTGGTGTGCTGGTTTGCTGGTTTGCTGGTGTGCTGGTTTGCTGGTGTGCTGGTTTGCTGGTGTGCTGGTTTGCTGGTTTGCTGGTTTGCTGGTGTGCTGGTTTGCTTGTTTGCTGTTTTCCTTATCCTCAAACTAGAAAACATGTATGCCAGCCATTGCATTGGTATTTTTGAAGTTTTTTCAACTCGACGAATCTAAGACCACTCAACTCTCTCCATCACCCTTGCAAAATTATTTTTTAACCGACGATCTCTTATCTGCTGTACCGGTGTTTGTGTATTTTATCTGCTGCCTCTTATCCCCCCACCCCACGCACGCACACACAACCACAAAACCTGACACAGGAAATATTCACGCCATCGTGGAATGTGGACAACTTGAGCAAGGCGAGGAGTTCATTACATTCACCAGCGCCACCGACAGCATCAGCTGCAGCAACGACATCATCAGCTGCAGCAACGACATCATCAGCTGCAGCAACGACATCATCAGCTGCAGCAACGACATCATCAGCTGCAGCAACGACATCATCAGCTGCAGCAACGACATCATCAGCTGCAGCAACGACATCATCAGCTGCAGCAACGACATCATCAGCTGCAAAAATGACTGCGGCAATGGCGGAGACCACAGCACCAGCACCAGCTGCAGCAGCAATGACAGCGACGACGATGGCGGTAACGACAGCAGCAGCAACAGCAGCAACAGCAGCAGCAGCAGCAGCAACGTGTGCAGGGAAGTGGCCATCATCATCACCATCATCATCATCAGGATCAGATACACAGCTTACCACCAGCTCACCAGCAACCATTGAAAGTGCTCACATGTTGACTAGAGAACCCCCGCCAGTCATCAACGTGTCCGCACGCAATGTAGCGATAAAGACACCTGGCAATGAAATCACCAACATACCCGCAACGAGCAACGCAATCTCTTCCTCTACCGGATCTCTGCTCAAGTTTTCTGGACTATCATCGGTGCATACATTTTCACACACACCTCCCCATCATGATGTTAGTGAGGACAACCAGCTTCATACCACTCAGAGTGGCAACGGTGACATATGCACTACAATAGCTGCTGCCGCCGCCGCTGCTGCTACCGCTGGCATGGTTACCAACTACCATGCCATGGATAGCTGTTGCCTAGCAACCAGACATGCAAGCAGGAGCAGGTGTCATGTTACCGAGGAAGCCACATCAGCCAATCACAGCAGTGCTAGTCATTCGAATAGTCACATGACATCGAATTCCAGCTGTGTAGATGACCCCGTGCCATATATAGACCCAGATCTACCGACACCACCCAGTATGTCTCCACGTAGAGAAGGTAAGAATTGTGTTACTGCTCTGCTACTCATTGCTATCTATGACTAGTATGGCGGTTCATCTATGACTAGTATGGCGGTTCATCTATGACTAGTATGGCGGTTCATCTATGACTAGTATGGCGGTTCATCTATGACTAGTATGGCGGTTCATCTATGACTAGTATGGCGGTTCATCTATGACTAGTATGGCGGTTCATCTTACTTTGCACTACAGTGTATGTAGTTACCTCCGACAG